GTAACACGGGTAACACCAGTAACAAGAGTAACACTGGTAATGTATGGCCGAAGCCTTATAGGAGACTTAGAAACCCAGCACTGTGTTTCCGGTCCCGCCGGTTGCGCTTTGACCATACATAATCAGCGCTACCCATGTTACTGGTGTTACTCGTGTTACCACTGTTACTGATGTTGCTAGTGTTACCGTTTTCATTGCTGTTGAGATGATCAGTGATGATTAGTGGTTCAGTAGTGATCATTTCATTACCCAACAGCAGTAAGAGCGGTAGCACTAGTAACACGCGTAACAGTGGTAACCGAGTAACACGAGTAAAAGTGGTAATGTATGGTCAGAACCTAAGACTGCATTGCTTCATTCGAAGAGAAACCCAACCCGGGTAACAAGGGTGGAAGTTACCACGAGCAAATGTCAAAGTGGTAACGTCGGCAACAGCGACAATATATGGCTTACCCATAATGTTTTAATTCGAAAAAAAGAGAGAAGTAGTAAAGCGCTTTCTCCAAGAAATAAGTTTGCCAAATAACATAAAAAGTGATAAAGTGGTTTGATAAAACCAAAAAATCAGTTTTTTTGTTGTGATACATGGTACTCAATCCTATACGAAGAAGACAGTGGAAAGCCACAGAAACAGCAGAGAAACTAACCGTAACAGCCAATTCTGGACCATGCGTCATGACGTTGTCGACCATGGTATCAACGTAGACATCCATCTTCTTTTCGTGACGCTTAATAAATGGTGCGAGTACCTAAAAAGCGTATTTGGGAGAAAATAAAGATATGCTGGAAAGAGGATTACCTTATCGAATACAAACTGAGCTCCCGCTGTGTACGGATTCACAGCCCAAAGCAGAAAGAGGAGCTTTCCAAATTCATAGAATGGGATGAAGTAGCTGATAAAAATCGAGTCCAGCACAGCGTCCACAGCAAGAAATGAGCCAAATACGGCCCAGTACTTGGACCAGTAAGACTAAAAGGTTTTCAACTAAAGTCTGCAAGGCCAAAGTGAAAGGTACCGCACCCACCAGCATCTTCTGAGTAGGTTTCTTTATCGTCTTGTAGGAATAAAACACTGGAATAAGGGCGCCAACAAAGGCTGAAGCGAGATGGCAGAGCAACGAGAACATCCTAAAACGGCAAGAGTTCGGAAGGGTATGATCCAAAACTGCAGTGTGTAGACAGACCGTACAGCGACACCACTTGACGAATATGAGTAAGCAAAGATCGTGAGGCGCCTTAAGTATACTAGAAGATAATGATAGTACATAGGAAAGTTCATTTTGAGTTCTCCAAAGAAAACAAAAAACAGAAGTAGAGTAAGGCTTTGACCATACATTACCAATGTTACCCGTGTTACTATCGTTTTCGTGTTACCTTTGTTACCAGTGTTACTCGTATTCCCGTGTTACTAGTGTTACTAGTATTACCGCCGTCATCCTCAATACAGTCCCATTTTTACTCAACACCAGTAAAAGCGGTAACATGGTATAGCACCAGTAACACAGGTAACACTGGTACGCGGGTAACACGAGTAACACTGGTAACATCGGTAACGCAAGTAGCACTGGCAATGTATGGATAAAACCTAAGCAACAAATAACACCGGCAACACAAGTAACATCGGTAACGCGAGTAGCACGAGTAACACGAGTAACAGGGGTAACACTGGTATTATATGGTCAAAGCCTTAGAACTGGTGAAAGAAAGTCTCGCCACTCAAAGTGAAAGATCGCGGCAAGATTGAATCATATGACTCTTAAATCAAGCATACAAGTTCGTATGTGATTAACAAGGGTTTACATGTAATATTTAGCATTTTCAGTACTTGAAATCAGGCAAGAACAAGTTCAAGCATGTTAAGACAAGTGCAAATCAACCTCGGATTTCCTGTTATTAGGGTATGATATCAATTTCCGTAAGTTCTTGCTTACAAGAGAAAAAACAGTACAAACCTTCACTTTTTTGAAATACTCGCTTTGGCGCGTCACAGCATCGCGG